ACATATTCACATACACACTTTGTTCCTATTCTATCTTACATACATATATTCACATACACACTTTGTTCCTATTCTATCTTACATATACATATTTACATACACACTTTGTCCCTATTCTATCTTATATACACATATTCACATACACGCTTGGTCCCTATTCTATCTTACATATACATATTCGCATACACACTTTGTCCATATTCTATCTGACATACACATATTCACATACACACTTGGTCCCTATTCTATCTTACATACACATATCCACATACACACTTTGTCCCAATTCTATCGTACATATACATATTCCCATACACACTTTGTTCCTATTCTATCTTACATATACAAATTCAGATCCACACTTTGTCCCTATTCTATCGTACATATACATATTCACATACACACTTTGTCCTATTCTATTTACATACACATATCCACAAACACACTTTGTCCCTATTCTATCTTACATACACATAATTCACATACACACTTTGTTCCTATTCTATCTTACATATACATATTCACATACACTCTTTGTTCCTATTCTATCTTACATATACATATTCACATACACACTTTGTTCCTATTCTATCTTACATACACATATCCACATACACACTTTGTCCCAATTCTATCGTACATAAACATATTCCCATACACACTTTGTTCCTATTCTATCTTACATATACAAATTCAGATCCACACTTTGTCCCTATTCTATCGTACATATACATATTCACATACACACTTTGTTTCTATTCTATCTTACATACACATATCCACAAACACACTTTGTCCCTATTCTATCTTACATATACAAATTCACATACACACTGTGTTCCTATTCTATCTTACATATACATATTCACATACAATCTTTGTTCCTATTCTATCTTACATATACATATTCACATACACACTTTGTTCCTATTCTATCTTACATACACATATCCACATACACACTTTGTCCATATTCTATCTTACATACACATATTCACATACACACTTGGTCCCTATTCTATCTTACATACAACATATCCACATACACACTTTGTCCCCATTCTACCTTACATAT